TGGAAATTACTCATAGCATCTCTTGGCATATCCCGATAGGCTCAACGGACAGCTCTTACCTGAACAAATTTTCGGGTTAACGGCAAGTTCGAAACTGTGTCGTAATGTCAAACTTCTGGCACAAGACAAGTACGAGTGACGAAATTTTCTCCTTTCACGATAAGAAGAAATTTGGAAAAATCAATTAAAGGAATGTTGGAAAATCAAGAATGCAAAAGCGTAACTAAGTACTTATAAAGTGTTTGATCCTCGAAAAATAAAAATTAAAATGGATTATTTATTATGCTAGTTGTCAAATATACTACCATTAAAACTTAGAATTCAAAAATATACTGTTGTTTGACAGTATTTATTCCTTCTTCCAAATCTTTTTTATCTAGAAAAACGAACGACGCTGGGCAGATTCATTGGACGGCTTGTGGACGTTTGTTAGAGAGCAAAGTAACAGTGATGATGTTGGCATAAGAAACGAGTGGTATAAAAAAGATCTGAAGACATTTAAAGTAAGTTAGCAACAAGTTTTGTAGGCAGTCATAGGTGCGTACATTAACAAATTTTAATGATATAATGTGTTGTTTATTTTCACAAAATTTATCATGCTCATAGTGCGCCAAGACAAGCAAAGATTAAAAGAAGAAAAATGTCGACATTGGGTAGGGTTGGTAATACAAACAAAAATTAATATCAATTAAGTAGCAATTATGCACTACTTCTTTTCTCGTGCAATAGACGCTTAGAGGTCGCAATGTACCGCGCGCACTTGAGTAGCATTCCATGTGCCATAAGTAATTAAACAAAGTTCATATTTTTTTTCCAGCCATAATCGCATTCTTGCTTTATTGCAGAATGCTACAGTAATGCCCGTACCGGCCGCATATAATGACATGTCCGCAGATGCAGAACTGCGAGATCACGTTGGATGGGTGTGGTATCAAACGATGGTGTTCATTCCGGAAACGGATAAAGGGCAACATCTTGCTCTAAGATTCGGCAGTGCCAATTATTTTGCGAAAGTTGTGGGTTCTCCAAAA